ACGGTACCCTGAGTAGTCCCTCCCTGTGAGAACGAACTGGTCGGTGGGAGGCTATTGGTGGCAAAAGACGGTCTCGTAGATACCCAGGTCCTAAACCATGGAGCACTTTAAAGGTGATAACTAACACCTTGAATCGCACCCGGAAGACCACCGGGAGCCAGTGCAGCTCGCATAGGAGAGGTGTTACATGGGCGTAATGAGCTGCGCCCATAATCACCCGCGCGGCTACGTTCTGGACCAGTTGGAGCCTCCGGGTGCTTTTCAAGGGGAGCCCCATGTAGAGAGCATTACAGTAGTCCATACGGGAGGTAACTAGGGCATGAGTGACCGTGCGCAAGGCGTCCCGATCCAGAAAGGGACGCAACTGGCGGATCAGGCGAACCTGATAAAAGGCACCCCTGGCCACGGCCGTCAAATGATCTTCTAAAGATAACCATGAATCCAGGAGGACACCCAAGTTGCGGGCCCGCTCTGTGGGGAGCAAGATCTCATCCCCTATTGTCAGTGATGGTACCAGCTGACTATACCGGGACGCCGGAAGCCACAGCCACTCGGTCTTGGAGGGGTTGAGTCTGAGCTTGTTTCTCCCCATCCAGATCCGCACGGCCTCCAGGCAACGGGACATCACAGCAAGGGCATCATTGGGGTGGTCTGGGGTGGAGATGTATAGCTGTGTGTCATCAGCATACTGATGAACACTCACCCCAAAACCACGGATGATCTCACCTAGCGGTTTTACATAAATGTTGAATAGAAGGGGTGAGAGGACTGACCCTTGCGGCACCCCACAAATAAGGTGCCTCGAGGTCGACCTCTGCCCCTCTGCCAACACAAACTGCGAATGGTCAGAGAGGAAGGAGGAGAACCACCGAAGCATGGTGCCCCCTATTCCTAACTCCTCCAGCCGGTGCAGTAAGATACCATGGTCGATGGTATCAAAAGCCGCTGAGAGATCTAATAGGACCAGGATAGAGGAGCAACCTCTGTCCCGAGCCCTCCAGAGATCATCCACCAATGCGACCAATGCCGTTTCTGTGCTGTATCGTGACCTGAAGCCCGACTGGAACTGATCCAGATAGACAACTTCATCCAGGTATCGGGGTAGTTGTCGCGCCACCACACTCTCAACAACCTTCACAACAAAGCGAAGATTGGAGACTGGACGATAATTTGATAATATAGCCGGGTCCAGGGAAGGCTTCTTGAGGAGGGGCTTCACAACCGCCTCTTTCAAGGTGGCGCGAAAGACACCCTCACTCAGAGAAGCATTTATAATCCCCTGGAGCCAGCCTCGTGTAACCTCCCGGGAGGCCAGTACCAACCAGGAGGGACACGGGTCCAATAAACATGTGGCAGCATTAAGCTTGCCCAGAATCCTGTCCACGTCCTCAGGAGCCACAGAGTCAAACTCTTCCCAGATAACGCTCTCAAGACCTGCCCCCGTCTCCTCCCCTGGATCTACCCAATCGGAGTCCAGGCCTTCCCAAATCTGAGCGACTTTATCATGCAGGAATTGTACAAAATCCTCAGCTCGACCCTTTAAGGGATCTTCCCGTACCCCCACCTGAAGTAGGGAGCGGGTCACCCTAAACAGCGCAGCTGGGCGGTTCTCTGCAGATGCAATAAGAGCGGAGAAGTAGCTAGACTTCGCCATTCTTATCGCCACTAGGTAGGTCTTAATATAAGATCTCATCTGTGTTCGGTCAGATTCAGATCGGCTTGTCCTCCAATCACTCTCCAGGCGTCTTTTCCGATGCTTCATCTCTCTCAGCTCCTCGGAAAACCAAGGAGCTAGATGAGATCGGCATCGGGTCAGAGGCCGCAAAGGCACGACGCGGTCCAAGGCCCCAGTAGCCGCCCTGTCCCAGGCGACCACCAGGTCCTCAGTCGTGTCGTGAGCCAGAGTCTCAGGAAATGGCCCAAGCTCCATCAGGAACCTTTCAGGGTCCATCAGGCGCCTGGGATGGAACCATTTGGTTGGTTCCGTCTCCCTGCGGTGGGTGGAAGTGACTTGAAAGTCCATGTGAAGGAGAGAATGATCAGACCATGACAAGGGCTTGATGTCTATATCCCCTATTCTTAGATCATTCAGCCACTGATCAGAGACAAAAATCAAGTCCAGAGTGTGATTCCCCAAGTGGGTGAGGCCTTGAACTACCTGGGTCAGGCCCATGGCCGTCATGGAAGCCATGAACTCCCGAACCGTCTCCGACATCTCACCAGCAGATGGCAGGTTAAAATCCCCCATAACAATAAGTCTGGGGGTTTCCACCGCCACCCCGGCTATAATGTCGAGCAGCTCAGGGAGGACCGCTGTTACGTGGCAGGGAGCCAGGTACGCAATCAGTAGGCCCATCTGAATCCCCTGACCCTACTTCACAAGGAGGGACTCACATCCGGCTATCTGAGGAACAGTGGCCTCCCTCGGGCAAAGACTTTCTCTAAAGATTGCTGCCACTCCCCCACCCCTTCCCTGAGCCCTTGGCTGATGGAATGCATGGAAACCTGGCGGGCACATTTCCACAAGGGGAACTCCTCCCTCCTGGCCTAACCAGGTCTCCGTAATCCCTGCCAGGTCAGCACCCCCCTCTGAAATAAGATCATGAATGAGGGGGGCTTTATTTACCACTGACCTGGCATTACATAACATCAGCCGTAGACCCAGGGTCTGAGACTCTGAACAACCCGGGAAACGAGCAGTGCTTTGGGGGTCGGAGTGAGCAATCGCTCGTAAACATCGAGTGTGCACTCCCGAAACATAATATGGCCCCCTGCAGCTGTCATATCTGCCCCTCTCACTTACTATACTAATGCCCATCGCTTCATCCCCCTGCATCCTTGTCAGATTTCTGTCCCCATCCTCCCCACCATGATTATCAGACCCATTATCCCTTTCAGTGGATTTATGGATCCCCCCAGATCCATTCCCACAATCCCTCCCAGAACCCCTTAAAATAGAACTTAAAGATTTATCTAAAAAACCCCAAAGCCGTCGGTTTTTTGCAAACCACCTCTCAGGGTTCCAAAACCCGTCCTCAGGGGCGGCCCTTGATAACTGAGAGGGCCAGACATGCGAGAGGGCGGAATCTCACAGTGCAAGGAGCTCCGCAGTTGAATACATCAAAGATAGGAGCGAGTTGAAGGAGATGAAGGATCATTTTCTTCTAAGAGTGTTAGAGATGGTTAAGACAGGTAATTTAAAATAAGGGAGGAAATAGATGTAAAAGGGAGACCAGTATGTTACAAATGTCAATACATCGGAACATCATCGCCCTCTCACGACGATGGGAAGTCTTGTGGTTGTAGTAAGTCCATCCAAAGGAGGTGGGGGTAGAGGTCTCAAAGGGTCGTCCTCTTACAGCGACCAAACCATTTGAAACAAACAAAGAGAAGGTGGTCTATCTCCCCATAATCCAAGACTCTCGATGTCTGTATCTCCTCCAGTCCTGATACCAGCGATGGCCGAGGATTAGATCAAAAAAGTAAGGCAGAGCCACTGGACAAAGTATTTAGGGTTAAATAATCAGGGTAATCTTGGGGGAATAGGTGGTAAATAAAGCTGCAGATCGATCTAAGATTGTAAGTTAACACTGAGTGGTCGTAATAGATCTAGATCTGATAAAGGAGAGAGGGACAGTTGAGGGGGAGAGTAAGTCATCATCTCCAGCTTGTAATCCTCAGTCCCTATCCATCACCTTGCTCAGGCTACTTAGTTCAATTAGTTTAATAAGTCCTCAGAGTTTCAAGAAAGAGGAGTGCAACAGATCCCTAGAGGTTGAAGGGATCCTAACATTTATAGCCTTTGCAGCATTGCCCTCTCTTCTATTAACAACGAGGGCTTCCTTGCAGCCTCTGGTGTTGCTGTCGCCATCGCTGCCATTAGCGCCATTCCCCTCACCATTGTGGTAACCCCCCTTGCCATAGACATCATCGCCGCCGTGTTGCTACATGCAGCGCCTATTAGCCCAGGCATCATTATCAACACCCTATCCGGAGTCGCTGTTGCCACTGTCTCGCCAACCATTTCATCAGCTGTATTAGACTCAGTGGATGACCCGGTCATGACAACCAGGTTTTGATGTTGACATCCTCCCCACCGCCCTCAGTCTTTTTACTGACAAACAGCTGATCTTCGGGCTCGGCTCGGGTTTTATCCTTGGGCTTCATCCACAGCTCTATTGAGCCGAAAATACCTCAGCTTGCTGGGAGGGGGGTCTGTGGATGGTTAATTGACCCCCACACTCTTGAAAATGTCAAAACATCTCCCTCCTAGCCTCGGAGTTTCAGCTCTGAGCTGCCATTTTGTTTTGCAACTGTCAACGGAATCAACATAGAACTGTCAACATATAACACCTATATAGCAGCAAAGCTAATACAGCTTGTGATTATAAATGTTTAAAAATACCTAATAAATCAGATTATCTTGAAGTATTATTTCTTGCAAGTCAAAATGGAGAGCAAAAAACCCAACCCTATTTTTTTAAAAAATGATGTATACACTGAAAATAGCAACGATAATAAAAAATAAGCTTTTTGTAGCAGCCGTATTCCCTCTTCTCTATTTTTGCTACCTTTGGTAAATTTGCGGGAGAGATCTTGAATTTAAAAACCCATGTTTAGAAATAAGTGCACGCTTCACCCACTAACTATAGCAGCAAACAGTGTGCCCCATGCAAAAAACATTCTCTCATCTAATATTAATTCTACATATAAAAATAAGTTGGAAAAATTAAAAGAAAACTATTTTATTATTATTATTTTAACATGAAAATATCAGAAAAAATTAGTAAGCCTGAGATGTAGGGTTTTGGTGAAAAACAAGAGGCTTTGTAGCATTTTGGCTGCTGAAAAAAGATGTATATCTAAGAGAGCTGGAGTGAGAAGCAGAAGAATGCACTTATTTCTTTTGCATGTCAACATCTTCAAGGAATCCTTCCTTCCTTCCTTCCTTCCTTCCTTCCTTCCTTCCTTCCTTCCTTCCTTCCTTCCTTCCTTCCTTTTCAATTCCAGTGGAAGTGGATCTGCAGTGGCCGGTCCGCCCCCTCCTTAACCAATGGCTTATGGAATTCACGCCCTGCCCGAGAATGGATGTTTGCCCAGCAAAACTCACAGTAATACTGTAGGCAAGTAACATTGGCACAAAAAAAGGGAGCAAACTTTCCACCACATCGTGCACCCTGGCATTCATCACACATCTGGTCATCCAACACATATGGCTTTACCTCCACCTGTTTAAAAAAAACAGACACGTGAAGAGGAAAGCAAAGAAACATTAATACTGAATATTTGGACTCTGAAATATCAGTTAAGTAATGCTACAGGATTATGCTCCTTAATAATATTATAAAGTAACTAACGCTGGAATAAAATAGAATGACAAGTCTGTTATGAGGTTTGAACCTTTTATCAGAAGTAACAAAAAATTCCTATTCATCTTGCTTTGTCATTTCTCTTTTGGTAAATATAATTCACAATTATTACAAAACTGCAAATAAAGAATTTAGGTATCAAGGCAGCAAATATCACTACTATTTTAACCAGTAATCCTACTTCTAATTAAAAAAAATGTATCCTTGGAAGACCTCCAAATTACTGCTGGAGATGATCAGCACTGCAAATTTATCCTTGTGGTCAACCAGGCTTGATTCCTATTTGGTGACAGCTCTTTATTTTAATAATATGTTTCAGAAACAACTGATATTGAAACAAAACAAAATCAGCTGTTGCCTCCCTAAAAAAAGCTTTAGAAAATATATTGCCACAATTGATAATCAGAAATAGGTTAAGTAGGAAAAGAAAACTATGTAAAGTTAGGTATTATGAGCACAAACAAGAAAAAAAATCTTTCTTATATTATTTAAAATTATATGCAATATTACACCTCTACCATCTAAACAGTTGCTCCAAGAATTCTACTTAGGTGCAGCTACTAGGAAACAGATTATGATCAACATCCAGCTACTAATTAGTTTTGATAAAATAGATAAAATAGTCAATTTTATCAATGATCATGTTGTGTAACTTGTGAAAAGCAAACAAGCTTATTCCTTCTCTCCAAACTTACTCGTATCACCATGTTGAAGCTGAACAAACCGAGCACTGATAGCTGCAATGTAGCTCTGTTGATTGGAAAAAGCCACTCATCCAGCACCTTTGGGGTATTTTAGTTCAGGGTCGGTATCAATTTCTGCATAACACACTCCACCATAGAGACGGTCCATTATCATAGCTAATTCCACTACAAAGAAACAAAACATATTGGCTAAAGAATCTTTAAATAAATAAATGTATTTTAAATCAAAAACTACTTGAAAAGTTATAAAGTATAATATTGGTATGCAGTGTAGAATATCATCTGCAATGTGATGCATAATCAATGTTAGAATCCAATAGAACATTAAATAAGGACTAGGAGAAGGGAATCTCCTAGTATGGGATTTGGAAAACTAATTTGTTCAATTTAGGCACCAAGCAAATCCCAACTAGCACCATAAAATAAAACCAAACAAAATACAAAAATAAAAAATAAAGATACAGTGTAATAACAAAGTGATAATAAAAGAGACAACAAACAAAAACAGATCACAAGACTGACTAACATCCTGCCCTGAAACAGATCTAAAATGGCCTCAATCCTGATTAGGTTAGGTCTTCAACACTTTTCAGAATGCTATCAGGAGGAGAGTAACATAGATTATCAAGGAGCATCTCATTCCACAGCTGTGTCAGACATGTTCCAGTTCCTTGGTCCCAAAAGATGTTTCCAAGTTAACACTGTACCAAATTTATTTTTTAATTACTGTATGAAGCTTTTTAAATAATGATCTGTATTCCCAGAGCTTGGTTTGCTGGTCCTCTAATGTAGGAACTGAGTGCTATTTCTAATGGAAACCATACAGTATCATAGCAACTGTTACCAGAAGTGGGTTTCAGCAGGTTCTGACCAGTTCTGGAGAACTGGTAGCGGAAATTTTGAGTAGTTCGGAGAACCGGTAGTAAAAATTCTGACTGGCCCCGCCCCCATCTTTCTGTCAATCCCAGCTGATCGGATAGACTATCGGATAGACTATCTATTATCAGTCTATAATAGATAATAAAGCCACACCCACAGAACCGGTAGTAAACAATTTTGAAACCCACCACTGACTGTTACCATGCACAAAGCTAATTCTGTATACTTTGTATAACTATAAGGATCAGTGATGCTCAATAGCAAAATAGCTAGCAGCAAAGGAAAAGTATTTAACATTTGTTTCATTATACAGTATAATAAATCATCTTGCAGAATTGCTGGGCTTTGTGACATCGCCATTATGTATGGAATGATGTAATGATACTACATTTTACATTTCCATTAGGTTTTTGAATATGCATAATCTATTTTGAAAATCAATCAAAAGCAGTATATCATTGAAAAGAGTTTAAGAGTTTATTAGATTTTTATACCGCCCTTCTCCCAAAGGACTCAGGGTGGTGTACAGCCATATTAAAACACATAGATTTATAAAATTTAAAACCAATTTAAAATCGAATATAAAATTTGGCCGTGAATTAAAACATACATACATTTTAAAAATTCATACTAGGCCAGTCCGGCTTGCTGAAACAGAAGGGTCTTAAGGGCGCAGCGAAAAGTATGCAGGTCGGGGATAAGACGAAGCTCTAGGGGCAGCTCATTCCAGAGGGCTGGTGCCCCCACAGAGAAGGCTCTCCCCCTGGGTATCGCCAGTCAGCATTGTTTGGCCGATGGCACCCTGAGGAGTCCCTCTCTGTGGGAGTGTATTGGCCGGTGGGAGGTTGTTGCTGGCAGAAGGCGGTCTCGTATATAACCAACACCTTGAATCGCACCCGGAAGATCACCGGGAGCCAGTGCAGCTCGCGCAGGAGGAGTGTTACGTGGGTGCGCCGAGTCGCACCCATAACCACCCGCGCGGCCGCATTCTGGACCAGTTGGAGCCTCTGAGTGCTCTTCAAGGGGAGCTCCATGTAGAGAGCGTTGCAGTAGTCCAGACGGGACGGGACGAGGGCATGAGTGACCGTGCGCAGGGCATCCCCGTCCAGAAAGGGACACAACTAGTGCATCAGGCGAACCCGATAAAAAGCTCCCCTGGCCACGGCCGTCATGTGATCTTCCAAAGACAGCCATGCATCCAGGAGAATGCCCAAGTTGCGAGCCCTCTCTGAGGGGGCCAAGGTCTCGCCCCCAATAGTCAGCGATGGAACCAGCTGACTATACTGGGACGCCGGGATAAAAAACATCTAGTATATGTTTTCTTTGAGCAAATTTAATATCGGATTTCAAGTGATGTTCCCTTCATTGAATATTAATTGTCCTACTTAAATTTTGTTTCTATCATGTAATCTGACTTGTTCAGTTTCTGACTCACATTTCAGTTACAACTCATTGCCCTAATAGATATTGTTTTCAAATTTGATCATTTCAAATTTCTAAGTATTCCATACTGTTTTTGTAATTTCGATAGACCAAAATTTTGAAGGTACTAAAATCAATGATGCTTTTTCAGATATTCCAAGGAAAGATTCTTGAAATATCTGGTTTTTTTAAATATACACCTTCATAAAAGTAAATATTTAATACTGAGGGCAGAGGCAGTAAGCCTGGAGTTATTCTTTTTTTATATTTGTCCCATTCAGTACTTTTAATAAAGCTATGTACAATTAAATGATTTTGTATTTGTACTAGACCAAAGATATTTCTGCAGGTTTTCTAGGAATCCTGTTCCTATTGTAGTATATAATAGTATTATAATGTTATATTATATTATCCAACTATACAGTGGTGTAATCCAATCTGTAATAAGAGAGTATAATTTAAAATTAGATGCTGCTAATCCATCTCATTCTTTTGCATTTTGTAGAATATAAAGTTTGATCTTCTGTCTTTTATTTGACCAAATTAAATTAGTTATTTGTCTTTGCCATTCAATGTCTTTTCAATTCTTATTGTAATAATTTGTAATAAAAACTTAAATCTTGAAAAAATGGGCATTTTATTGTTGATAATCTTCCAAGCCAAGACAGTTGTAGCTTTTGTATCTAAAATATCTGCCACTGTATTTTTGCAGATCAATGAAAAATTATTTTCTACTTCTGGGAGTTGAAGTCCACATATCTTAAAGTTGCTGAGATTGAGAAACACTGTTTTAAAGTAGAATAGAATAGAATAGAATAGAATAGAATAGAATAGAATAGAATAGAATAGAATAGAATAGAATAGAATAGAATAGAATAGAATAGAATAGAATAGAATTCTTTATTGGCCAAGTGTAATTGGACACACAAGGAATTTGTCTTTGGTGCATATGCTCTCAGTGTACATAAAAAGACAAGATACACTTGTCAAGAATCCCAAGGCACATCACCCAGTGACAGTCATATGGTACAATAAGCAATCAAATCATTATAGGAAAAAATCAATATCAAAATAAAGCAACAAAGTTACAGTCATGCAGTCACAAGTGGGAGGAGATGGGCGACAGGAACAATGAGAAGACCAATAGCAACAGAAATGCAGCCTAATGTGAATAGCCTGACAGTGTTAAGGGAGTTATCCATTTAGCAGAGTGATGGCATTCAGGAAAAAACTGTTCTTGTATCTAGTTGTCTTGGTGTGCAGTGCTCTATAGCGTCGTTTTGAGGGTAGGAGTTGAAACAACTTATATCCCGGAGGGGTCTGTAAATATTTTCAGAGCCTTCCTTTTGATTCGTGCAGTATACAGGTCCTCAATGGAAGGCAGGTTGGTAGTAATTGGTTTTACTGCAGTTTTAATTATCCTCTGAAGTCTGTTTCTGTCTTGTTGGGTTGCAGAACCAAACCAGACAGTTATAGAGGTGCAGATGACAGTCTCAATAGTTCCTATGTAGAACTGTATCAGCAGTTCCTTGGGCAGTTTGAGCTTCCTCAGTTGGCACAGAAAGAACATTTTTTGTGCTTTTTTGATGACGATTTTGATGTTAGCTGTGTATTTTAGATCTTGAGATATGATAGAACCTAGAAATTTGAAGTATTGTTGATACTGTTGATACTGTGTTGTCTAGTATTGTAAGAGGTGGTAGTATGGGAGGGTTTCTCCTAAAGTCTAGCATCATTTCTATGGTTTTGAGTGTGTTCAGTTCCAGATTGTTCTGGTCGCACCAAGAGGCTAGTTGTTCAACCTCCCATCTATATATGGATTCACCATTGTCTCGAATGAGAACAATAAATGTTGTATCATCTGCAAACTTTAGTAGTTTAACAAATGGATCGTTTGAGATGCAGTCATTGTATATAGAGAGAAGAGAAGTGGAGAAAGCACACATACTTGCGGGGGGGGGGGGCTGTGCTAATTGTACAGGTATCTGATATGATTTTGCTTAGCTTCACCTGCTGCTTCCTGTCTGTTAGGAAGTAATGCTAGGAAATAGTCTGTGATCATCCACTTAGTATAAACCTCTGTACCTATTGCAGAGGTGCAATTGTACGACCATCCACTAATTAGTCGTGGGGGCGCAATGGTTAGAATACAGTATTGCAGGCTATTTCTGCCGACTGCCAGGGGTTTGATCCTCACTGGCTCAAGGTTGACTCAGCCCTCCATCTTCTGAGGTTGGTAAAATGAGGACCCAGATTGTTGGGGACAATATGCTGAATCTGTAAATTGCTTGGAAAGGATTGTAAAGCATCATGAAATATTATATAAGTCTAAGTGCTATTGCTAAGTACTAATTAGACATAGTAAATTTATGCACTGGTTATATTTTGAGAATACAAAACCAAATTAATTTTGGTGAAATTGCTATATCTCCTTATTTTCACATTTCTAACCCCCCCTTTGCAAGTAGTCCTTGAGTTACGACAGTTCACTTAGTGATGGTTCAAAATCATGGCACCCCCCCCCCAAAGTACTTATGATGGTCATAAGTACATAAGTTACGAATGTTGCAGCATCACAGCAGTTTTGTCCTTATAACCAACTGCAGAGATGCTGCAACATGCCCCCTGTCTATTCCACGCCCCACCCCCCCTGAGCCTGTACAGGCACTGGGCCTGTTTTGCCAGTCCATCCATCCTGTCACCAATTGCTTACTTATATTTAGAAGATCTGCAGAACTCAGGGCCATGTGGCAGAAAAGTAGTCATCTACTCAGATGCTGGTGAAGCTGTTTTGGTTAGATCTTGTACTCATATATGCTTCTGTGCACTTTGGAAAAGGCTTTTTGTGAAGAGCAGAGTCCTCCATGGATGATCGCACCCCTTCAGGCTTCTGTGTGCTTTGGAAAAGCCTTTTTGAGTGGAGCAAGGAGGTTTCCAGGGATGTGAGATCTATCGTGCCCTTGCAGGCTTCTGTGCTCTTTGGAAAAGGTTTTTTGTATGGAGCATAAAGGCCTCCAGGGACGTGATAGATCTCAAGTACCTGGAGGCCTCCGTGTGCATGGAAAAGCCTTTTCCAAAGAGGACAGAAGCCTGCAGAGGTGCGATAGATCTCACAGCCTCCATTAGTTTGAGGGTGAAGGGTGCCTAACATCTTTAGGAACTCCTGCCAGCAGCTAGAGGTAAATTGAGCCATGGTGGCACAGTGGTTAGAATGCAGTACTGCAGGCTACTTCTGCTTATTACCGGCTGCCTGTAATTTGGCAGTTCAAATCTCACCAGGTTCAAGATTGACTCAGTCTTCTATCCTTCCAAGGTTGGTAAAATGAGGACCCAGATTATTGGCAACATCTTAGAGAGGGCTGTAAAGTGGTATATAAGTCTAAGTGCTATTGCTATTGCTATTAAAGAATAAGCAGAAGATTCTAGCATACTACAACATTTGCCAATTTGTTGTACTAGTACAGTGGTGGCTAACCTTTTTGCTGTCACGTGCCAAAACTGGGGAGAGCACAGGGGGGTCTCGCGCATGCGTGCCCACACCCATAATGCAATACCCCCTGCATGCCCTGCTCCCGCGTATGTGCGCACAACCCCATGCTCCCCCACATGAGCAACCCACACACTCCCCCCACCCCCACACATATGCATGCGACCCCCCTGCGCTCCCTGCTCATGCACGTACAACCCTCCACACTCCCCCCACCCCTGGACATACGCACAAGACCCCCTCCTGCCCCGCGCATGCACATGAGACCGCTGCACATGCGGGGACATCTCCCACATGTGCCCTGCCCTTGCACCAGAGACCCAAAAATCAGCTGGCGGCACACGCAAATGTGTAGTGGAGCTGAGCTAGGCAATGGCGTGCCACCTGTAGTTTTGAATCTGGTTGATTTGTTATTTGTTTCCAATGAAAAGTCTTTATTGGATTGCAAGGTTCTCTCATTGTTTTGTTTGGTAGATGGACTGAAATTTATTTAGGATAAATGGCACTGAATTGGGAAAATTGCATTAGGATAGATACCCCACCCCCAAATTATTTCCAAGGGTAATAAATTGTTGACTCAACCATAAAACATTTAGATACTAAAGAATGTTAATTAATACTGACTAAAGGGGATAATGAAAACAGGAAGCAAGACCATTAGATGACACATATAGAAAAGTACCTCTCTAGAGAAAAAGGCCTGTTTTTGTATAACTCAATAAACAATAGCATTTGTATTGTCTCAGTCATACCTAGCCATACTGGCTTCATTAATACACACACTGGTTTATAGTAGTATAGCCTTTATTGTCATTGTACATCATGTATACAACAAAATTGGTTTAAAGCCAATCAATTATTCTGCTGCACTGATCAAATTTGGGGAAATTTGTAAAGTGTGATTCTTCTCAGTCCTAGCCCCAGTTTTAAAAAAACACACCGGAAGATTGTGGCACTTTGGTTTAACACTTACCAGCTCGTAACGGCCTGGGAACACCAACAACAAAAATGGTTTTTCGAGGATCCAAAGGCTGTGAACCATCCATTACAAAGTCACTATCACTTAAGTTCCAGGGGCGGATCTGAACCTATTAAAGCAAAGCAGTTGCATGACTGTAAATGCATTTATGAGGCACTGCCATTTTGAATCCATATAAGATGCCAGTAACCCATAATAGAAAGAGAAAAGAGGGGAAAAAAACTTTATTTTTTTGGGGGGGGGGCAAGATGGTTGGTGGATTAGCTCCCTTTTTTGCACAACAATGTTGCTTAAATTCTCCCCATTTTATTCATTGGGGCAAATGAAATGTGTTCACTCATTTTAGTAATTACATTAAATTTTTGATGATAAAATTAAATTAAATTAAATTTCATTTTAAGCTGTTTGAATCACCATCCACTAAGAAAAAGTCTTCAGATATATTACAACTTGTTCTGGAAGCTTTTTAAAAAGTACTCAGGTTTCTCTTCCTATAATCCAGGGGTGACAAATTCACGGCCCACAGCCCAGATGCATCACATGCTGGCTATGCTCACCCCTGTTTTAGCAAAGGGGGGGGAGTTGTGATACATCACGTGACGACATGATGACGTGAGTTTGACATTCCTGCTATAGCTTTTTTTTTTTAACTTACAGGCTTATCCTTGATAGTAGGGCTGGAAACACACAAATAAAGCTTTCCATCTTCTTCAAGGTAAGCATCAATCAGAGCTTGAACAGCGCTCTCCTCTTGGAAAAGGAGGAAGGCATAACCTGGATATCAAGGGAGGAGGAGGAAGGGAAAAGAGAAAGCCTAGGATATAGTTAATGTTTTCCTCCTGTTGTCAATATGATCAGGACCCAAAGACAATACACATTTTCTACAAGTGCTCCCATTTTTGCATATTTCTAGTGTTATTTTTTATTACTAAAAATCTTTTTTAAAAAGGAAAATTTCTCTAACGTGTTGTGAAGTAGAGTATATAGTCCTGATATATGAGGTGAAAGTCCAAGGCCCAACTTGTTATTTTAAAATTATGCAAGTCAATCTCACTGATAATAAATAACTTAAGAGCTTAAGGCACAGTGGTTAGAATGCAGTATTACAAGCTAACTCTGCTCACAGCCAGTAGTTCGATCTGGCTCAAATTCAAACAGACAGATTCAAACAAACATAGTTGGAAGGACCTTGTAGATCATCTAGTCTAACCCCCTGCCCAAACAGGAGACCCTGCACCATTTCTGACAGATGGCAGTCCAGTCTCTTCCAGTGATGAAGCTCCTACAACTTCTGAAGGCATGCTGTTCCATTGGTTGATTGTTCTCACTGTCAGAAAATTTCTCCTTATTTAGGAGGGGTATGGCTGACATCATGGCGATATGACGCATTTCATGGGGCTCCGTGGGATTGCACCGAAATCCAAGCTGCTGGGAGATCTGGAGGGACCTAAATCACCTTGGAGGGGTGATGAATAAAGAGAGTACACTCTGCTGATCTCAGGGAGCCTGCAATCTCCCTGATTGATCCGGAGAAGGCTCTCAAATTCAATGGGGAGGAAAAGATGGCCATTACGTGCCGGACTGCTGTGACAGCCAATGGAAAAGAAGCATGGAAGCTTGAATGACAGTGTGATCAATCTGGGTGAGAGACTGTTAAGGATATTGGTGTTGTGTTACCAACCAGCAGAGTAAATGCACAAGGAAACATTGCTGAGAGCGATGAATAAGAATTATGCAAACTGGTTTATCAAAAGCTTACTTTATAGTGGAAAAACAGTCTCATAGTCTTTAAACAAATTCCAAGTCTTTGCCAGTAAATCAGTCCAGTAGTTACAGATATCTTCTTACTCAACAAACAGTAGTTGGTTAGAATAACAAACTCACTCTGGTTCACAAACCACGATGGTAGCAGATCCATCAAACGATGATTAGCAGATAACAACTCCTCTCAATGGTAGTTTATCATAGCAGCTTCATCATCAAACTGAATACGTTACAGTACCTTGCTTAAATACTCTCACAACCAGTCATTACCTAATTACAGCATGACTCGGCATTACAATGAATACCTTTAAAGTAACATAATACATTTACAGATTAAAGTTACAGTACACGTATATTGCCTGGACAACTTAGTTAGGCTCAAACCATATCCTAACAGAGACTTTTAATTTTTAACTTTAATTGAAGAAAGAGTCCCCTGGGAAACATCTGGGTTAAAGTGGGACCCAAAAGGTCCCACTGTCAGCATTCCAGAAGACCCCAACTCCAAATAAAGATGTGGAAGCAAGCATTTTCCAAAGTTCTCTTTACTAGAATAGGTAAATTGGCACATCTGGGAAAACCCGAATCTGAAAGGCCCAGGTTTTCTCTCAGTAAATCAAAACCCCCTAAACCATCCCCTCACTCCTCAGTCACTCCTCTGTTGATCACATGCTCCAATCAACATCCGTCCCATCTCGACTCAGCACTCCGACCTCTCCTTCTCCAGATGCCGGATCGCCCTGACCTTGGCCAACAGGAAGAATGCTATTATGTCTACCAACAACCCCTCTACTAAATCCCCCCTCCTGCTTTCCCACACATGAGAAGGTGGCAGCATGGAAGCTTCTGGCCTAATATGGCTTCCGAAAAGCTGATACCCACTTTTTTCCACCTCCTGAGAAAAGTGGTGAGGAAAGCTTAAGAGCCATTTTTAAAAAGGGAAGTCAAGCAAAAGAACTTTTTTTAAAAAAAGAGTGAAAAACTTTGCAACTTGGAAGCCTGACTGGGTACCTCAAATACAATACTGATTAATTTAGAAGCTTTTGGATACTACAAAATTTGGATATACAGAATTTTCTTTTTTTATTCTATTTTTATAAATTGTGAACCGGAGCAGACTATACAAAAGGAGAAAGAAAAAGGGAGAAGCCACCTACAGGCAGAAGTGGAAGCTGAGAGGTACAAGGGAGAAAGAGGAAAAAGCATATAAAATACATAACCTTGAGAGATTGTGAGACTGAAGATAAGAACTGACTGCTAGATAAATAATTCTTGTGCTATATGTTGCTTAGACTGAATAACTGAGATAGAGAGTGAAACACTGAGACTTTCTATTCTTTTTTTTAATTTATTTTTTATTGAAAAAGTTTTCAAATACAAATTTTTCCCCCTTTTTTCCCCTCCCCCTCCCCCTCCCTAACCCCCCTCCCCACCCATCCTCCCCTATGACTTCTTCGTAACAAAAAACCTAATTCATAACAGATTACTTACTCCCTCCTCTAAATACTGACCTTTACTTACTAAAAATATTATTAATATTATAACATCCCCCTTTATCCATACATTTCAAGAAAGAAAGAAAGAAAAAAAAAGACATTATACTATAACATTGTAAAATAACTTCTAATTTAGCATAATAGTATTATAACTCCCAATTTGACAATAATCTGCCCTTTTTTTTCTTCTCCCAAACTTATATCTATATATTATTACAACAAATCAAAACCACCTTCCGCTTTAAAACTATACAATAAATCCTACTTTAACATTTAATCTTCTGTATGTATTACTATAACATTTCAAAGCGGCCTTCCCCATAAAATCTAATTTAACATTTATTCCACTCTATCCATTTCCTCCACTCCCCTAAATATATCACTTAAAAATCCCTTTTCTTAAACTAATCAATCTGCAACCTAGCTTATTCACCCACTGTCCTGCAAAATTACCATACACAACAATTCTTAATATCTTTGATTCACTGCCCACGCTACTTAAAAATATATGTATATATATTCCATTATATCTAAATAAAAAAGAAAAGACAATGACTTTAAATTTATAGTCCATATAATATCTTCTTGAAAGTCTTTCCACTGGATTGTTAGGACCATCATCCATAATAGGGTAACATAGCTTGCTGATGCAACAGTTTATTCAAAATCTTCAATCATATCCGCCCCCATCAGTAGTAAATATCCTCTTATATGTATAAAAGTAAAAACAACCACCCGAGTGACATTATAATTATATTCCATATAGTAATAATTGTGGCTTTCATCAGGATTATTGATTCCCATCATCGTAGTGGATAACAACCTGATCTTCTGCTTGCCCCCGCATAATTCTCTTGCCTTATGATTCAAGATAATTATAATATATTTATCAGCACAAAAAAGGAATTCCAAAGTGGATAATTCAAATCCATCAGTTTAAGGCTCTTTTCACATCCCAAGATTACGGCAATGCAGAGATCTGTCACTATCCTCAGGATAATATTGACCAATACGTCGCCTCCTCTATATTTTCACATACTCATTCATTTTTTAAAGTCACTGGCTTCACTGTTGCTTGATTTAGAAATTTCTATTTTGATGCAACCTATTTCTTTTTTTCTTTTCTTTTTGTGGGTTTGATTTCGATCCTGGTTTCCTTTCTACAGATTGTGTATCAACTAATCAGTTTTCATTCTGCTTTGTAGATTGGTCTTGTTGGTTTTGTTTTTGTGTCTCATGTTTCTTTTTTATCCCTTGTATATCCCCTAATTGGTTTCCATGCTTGTCCTTGACTTGATAAGTCATCGCGTTAAAGTCAGGTGCCACTTCTCTCAAATTTGTAGATAATCCAGCTGGGGTATCCGAAAAATCCAAAGGCAATTTATCTGGTACAGTCTCTGTAATTCGATATTTTCCCTTTATTTCCAGCTCCTTCTGCTTATCCTGTATTATACCTGAAGATGTTAAGTTCATTTTCAACCTATTTTGATAAAATTCTTCCGCTCTTTCAACAGTATTTAGCTGGTATCTTTCTCCTTGATATCTCAATATGATACCAACTGGGGTGTCCCACCTAAATGGGATATTTCTCTTTTTTAACTCAGCCACCAGAAAACCAAATTTCTTCCTTTCCGTTAATATCTTAGGTGGGAGTTCTTTGTAAATCCAAATCTTTCTTCCATACAATTGCAAATTAGAATTGAAGGAATTTTGCACAATATTATTCCTAATTTCTTTATCTGTAAAATAAATCACCACATCTCTAGGCAGTTGCCTTTGCTTGGCAATCCAGGAATTTATTCTGTAAACTCTGTCAATCCTACAAAACACGTCCTCAGGTTGAACCTTTAAAATCCCAGCTAGAATTTCAGAAAATATTTTCCTTAAATCATCTCTGTTATTTTCCTGCAAACCTCTCAGTCTTATCGCATATTCTGTAAAATTATATTGTACCATTAGAATCTCTTTTTCAATCCTCTGTTGCAGATTTTCTACGTTACCAGACTTTTGATCAGCCTCCATTTTAGGTTTTTCTTCTGAGCTATTATCCTGAGTGTTTATCAAATCATTTTCAATTTTTTGGATTCTATTATCCAATTTATCTTGAGTTTCTTCCATTTTAGACTCTAGTAAATTAATATTTGTATCCAACTGTATCATAAATTCTGAAAAACCATTAACCGCTTTTAAAATTTTTCGCTCCAAAAAATCAAACTTAGATTTCACCATTTCTTTAATTTCCTGCTTAAATTTTTCAAGATGCTGATTCACAATCTCATCCCTTCTTTCAATCTCCTCCAAGAGAAATTCTATTATATTGAAATCAGGTTTCTGAGACTGGAGAGTTAAAACTTGTTCCTTTAAATTGTTAGTGGGGGAATCCCCCCCCCACTACTTGTTTGTCTGACTTTATAAGTCTCAGTGCCATGTTTCCGCCCAGGCAAGCTTTGTTAAAAGAAAAAAAAAACAAGAAAAAAGACTTCTTTCCAATCAAGAACAATGTCAAGTCTCCAGGGAGAAAAAAGAGAGAAAAAAACACAGGAGCGAAGTTTTGTCTGCAAATGTAGCCAGTGGTATTTATTCCGCTACATTGTAATAATAGAAAACGGAAGGACTTTCCCTTTCAGCCTCTTCTCCAGCCGCGGCAAACGCCATTTTAAAAAGCTTTTTTTTTCCCCCCTTTCCTTTCCTCTTCTCTCTTAAGTAGTTTTTTTTAAAAAAATAAGTAAAATACTTGCGATTCAGTATTACAGGTCCAGCTCACATTTTCTTTGAATAATCTGTTAAATTCGCAGGCTTGCTTTTGACACCTGGCTCTGCATTAGCAGAGGTCTCCCAAAGCCCGGAGCAGTGGCTGGGGATATGGGGCATCTCATCCGCTCCGTCCCAAAAGTAAAAGAAAATCTTTTGGGACTATGCAGAGAGTTCTACCCACCCCTGCTGGCTCTATCTCCGTTTCCTCATGGAAACGGAGTTTTTTCGAGCCGCCATTCCGCTGTGAAGGCGGCTCTAACAGGCAATGGAAGCTGACGATCCCGAAGGAACATCTGGCGGCGGCCAGCAGCAAACCGGAAGCCTCGAGACTTTCTATTCTTAAAAGTTTAGCTCTTGGAACTCAAATGGAAACATAACAGACAAAGCAAAATAGAAGCTGACAACAGCAAAACACTTCCCTTTTTCTTATTTTTCTTCTGCTCTGTGAACTCTCTATTTGTGGATATAAAATAACTGGTAGTTAAATTTTAGGGCTTGGTGGGCCTATGTGGATTACAATTTACCAACTCATCATCATTCTTTTTTTGGCAAGAAAGGATTAGGGTTTGAGGAACCTGAAGAAAAGCAACAACAATAATGGGGTTAAAAGATTGATAACCTTTGGATTACAACTTTTTATTTATTTATTTAATTCCCCCCCCCTGCTTGGATTACCCTTTACTTTTTGTGGATTATAAATATTAAAATAGTTCAAAATGAGGAAAGCACCATCTGCATGATCTTCAGCAGCAGCATCCGCAACATCTAGCCCATCAGGTCAGAAGTCCTTGGATGTTATGTTACAGCAAGAGAAAACAAACGTGATGCAGGCAGAATTAAAAGTTATGATCCAAGCGCTGTATGATGACTTTAAGGAAAGAATAGGGAAAGTAGAGGATAAAGTAGAGAATATTCAACAAATGATGGCAAATAATGAACAACGCATGCAGAAAGTAGAAGAGAAAGCTGAACAAACAGAAAAAAGAGTGGAAGAAGTTGATTACAGACTCACATTGGCAGATAAAAATAAAGAAAGAACAATATCATTAGAGATGGACAGGGCTGATTATTACTTGCGATTTCAGAATATTGAGGAAGAAAAAGGAGAAAATCTAGCAGAGATATTGGCAGAGCTGTTGACAGATACTTTAGAGGTGACCAAAGAAAAAATTCTTGTTGAGATTGATGAAATATTTAGAGTTCATACCAGATATGCAACAAGAAAAAGGCTTCCCAGAGAGATACATGTGAGATTCACTAAAAAAGCAATGAAAGCAGAGATTCTACAAAGAGTGAGAGATGATCCTTTAAAATATAAAGGGAAAGAAATAGTAGTCTTAAAACAGATTCTGAGAAGAGTTAGAGAAGTAAGGCAAGGATACCAATTCCTGACAAAACAACTAATTAAAAATGGAGTGAATTTTATATGGCTGATACCAGAGGGCATACCGGAGGGAGCAAAGACATAGGCTGGATTCCATAGAAAAAGCAGAACAATTCTATGAGCACTACTTTGGGCCACAAGAGGAAGAGAATAAGAGATGAGAGAGAGGACAGATGCCAAGAGGAAGCTACAGGAGAGAGAAATATACAACAAAAAGAAGATGAAAGAGATCTGGAGGAAATAGCAAAAAGAGAAGGAGGGAAGTCAAAAGAACTAAGAGAGATAAGAGCGACTAGAACAACAAAACCAATCTATAAGTAAAACTATGGAAGAAGAAATAAAATTAATGTCAATTAACATAAATGGATTGAATTTGGCAATAAAAAGGAAAAGGACTTTTAGTAAACTAGAAAAACTAAAGTTAGATATAATCTGCTTGCAAGAAGTTCACATTAAAAAACAACACAATCTATTTACTAGAATAGGTAAACTGGCACATCTGGGAAAACCCGAATCTGAGAGGTCCGGGTTTTCCCTCAGTAGATCAAAACCCCCAAAACCATCCCCTCACTCCTCAGATGATCACATGCTCCAATCACCAGCCATCCAATCTTGAGACATCACTCTGACCACTCCTTCTCCAGATGCAGGATTGGCCTGACCTTGACTGACAGGAAGGATGCTATTATGTCTAAAGACAACCCCTCTATTAAATCCCCCCTCCAGTAAGAGCTGGAGTACTAGATGCTATTTAAAATATGTAATGTGGTAGAAAGAAATGCTTAATTGTTTAGTAAGTACAATGCTATTGACAGTCTAGGAAACTATTAAAATAATATTATATTAAAACATTTAGCTCAATAAAATGTAGAAGTATAACAAAGAGCCTTGATAGTACAGTGGTTTAAGCACCCTGTTATTAACACAGCTGCCTGCAATTTACTGCTGGTTCGAATCGCTCCAAGGCTCAAGGTTGACTCAGCCTTCCATCCTTTCTAAGGTAGGTGAAATGAGGACCCAGTTTGTGGGGGCAATAAGCTGACTTTGTATAAATATACAAAAGTATGAAGGCTATTGCTTAACACATTGTAAGCCGCCCTGAGTCTCCGGAGAAGGGCGGCATATAAATCAAATTAATTAAATAAATAAATTTTAAAAAAAATTAAAAAAAATTAAAAAAAATAATAAAATTCTACCTAGAATACTGTTAAAATAATTGATGGTGCTTACTTATTATCTACGCAATAATGTAGAGTTATACAAAAGGAGGAGAGAGAAAGAAAAGGGAAAAAAAAATAAAATGGTTCAATGACCTTGAATTATCAAGTTGAATCTGCAGTTCACTGTTACCTATTTTTAACTGCTATAGTGACAAATATTGGCTAATGTCACAATTTTAGTCTGAAAGAAAGTAGTAGGTATAGAAATAATCCATTCTCCTCAGCCTAAAGGGAATTGTTATTTCCAAAATCCTGGCAGACAAGGCAGTAAAGGAAAACATATTCAATGATCTTGATTGCCTCAGAGTGGCAAGGCCATGTAAACTGGGGTACAAGAATGGTGTACCTGCAGGCTTCCGGTGGCTCCGCCGACGCCGAAAGACGCTCCCTTGTGAACGCCAGCCCCAGGACTCCGTTAGAGCCGCTAGAACAGCGAAAATCAGCTGTTCAGCGGCTTGAAAACTTTCCCCCTGGGAGAAGGGGGGAAAGAGAGCCGACGGGGCGGGTAGAGCTCCCCAAAAGCCCCAGGTTTCTTTTTAAATCTGGGGCTTAAAGGGTAAGAGCTCCCTGGGAAGCCCGTCATTGCTCCGGACCTGGGACGTTTCTGCTTCAAGCAGAACTAGGCGGTGTGACCACCCCAGCAATTCAACTTTAAAGAAAAAAATTTTGGACTTGAAAGCTGGCAGAGCAAATACAGGAGAAACTAAAATGGCAAGTACTGAACTTTAACTCTGAAGAATCTATCACTTCCCTCTGATTTTCTATGGGAGAAAGGGAAAGTAAGATGGCGTTTGATTCTAACGAGGGCGTGGAGAAGTGAAAGTTAGTTACAAAGTATCATGTGGTGCTGAAAGCCCCTGTTTAAAAGAAGAGGATTTTATTTTAAAAGGACTTTTATTTAAAAAGACTGGTACCATTTAAGGACTGGAATAATTGATTTAGTTGTTGAAAAAGTATAAAGTGAAAGTCTTATTAGGGGGGAAAAAATGGCTGGCTTTTTTGAAAGTGATGAAGGCTCACCATTACATACATCAGTAAATACACAAATACTGACTGTGGATCTCTTTGAAGAAATTTTAGAATCATTTACCTCCGCGTTTGTGGAAAGAATGGAAGGGCTTTTCAAGAAGGGCTTTACACAAATTCGAAACAAAGATACAAATGAAGATATTGTATTGTTCCAGTTGCCAAACAACAAGGAGTTGCTGAAGGAGGAGGTGGACGAAATAACTCAGTTTAATGTGCCTTTGGAAAATGAAATGGAGGTTTTTCAAATTAAGAAGGAAAGGCAGAGAGGCTTGAAGGAGCGCAACCAGGAAACAATGAGAGACATTTCTTCAGAGGCTTTGACACAGACAACTGGAAAATTGTCAGGAGGCGTTGGGATTTCTTATATAAGAAGGAAGATTTGAAGTGAAACTTTACAACTTTTTTACAAAAATGGATTCCCAATCGCAGTTAAAAAGGTGTTTTTATTGAAAGGAATTACTTTGCGAAGAGAACAGGATTGTAAGGTTCAGCAACTTCAGTTAAAAATCCAAGAACTTATAAAAATAAAAGAAGGCGGAGGAAAAAGACTGAAGCAAAAGGTTCGCAAAAAAGTCAAGAAAAAATGGAGAAGGAAAAATTACAATCCACTTTTTTGGGGAGGATAGCAATAGTGAAAAAGAATGATTATACCTGTATAAGTTATATTATAGGGAAAATGAATGATTTACCTATATTTAAGGACATGATTTGTTTTGAAAAGTTACATTAAATAATGTTATGGTTGAATTGTTATGAATTGGTGAAGAATTTATATAAGTTTATGGGTTAAAAGAAAAATATTGTGGATGTAAAAATTATGGACAGTGTAGATCATTCAATATAAGTTTATGGGTTAGAAGAAGGATATTACTTAAACTTTTATATGTTGTTTTAAATTACATTAATGCCATATTAAAGAATGCTTTGTTGAAGAATAAATATAAACTTGTGGGGTATAAGGAAAATATAAATGGTGCAAGGGTTGAGGGAAGGTTTTTGACAATATTTTATATGGATATTAAACAGTGAAGATGTTATTTGATTATACGTACAGGATTTGTAGAGAATACAATGAATAAGTTTATGTAAAACTACTAAGCAAGGAATATTTTCAAGAAGAATTAATATAAGTTTATGGGGTAAAAAGTAAAAATAAGGTTTTTACAATATATTTTATTTGAGATTGGTTAAAATATTTTGTTAAGGTATTAATGTATGTAAGGGTTGGAGATCTGATGTTTAACTGTAGAAGAAAGAAGACTTGCTTATTATTGAAGAATGGACAAGAACGAAGTTGGATTGATTACTTTCAAGCAATAATTGGCATAAATAGTTATATTTAGATATGAACAAGGGGAGTTAAAGTGCATGAGGGAGCTAAATCTATAGATAGTTAGCTTATGTTTTTTTTTTATGTTTGTTAAATGCTATACCCTGTATTTGCTCTGGGAAGTCAAGGGGGGGTGGGAGGGTTGGGGCAGTGGGTGGGAGGAGAGGGGGGAAAATACGTGTAAACTTTTTAAAAAACTTTTCAATAAAAAAAAAAGAATGGTGTACCTGCTATATAGAAGCACCAATGTGACCACATTGTATCTAGCCCTGAAAAACCATTTCCTCAACATAGAGGAAATGAGAATGGACCAGATATTTGCTGATCTAATAGAATTCCAGAGCTCTGAGAGACTAAGCTGATTTCAGATTGGTATTCAATATCACTCAATCTTTTAAGCTGTAACTTTTTGGCTTGAGCATCATCCAAAGCTATCTGGGAATCTGCAGGCAATCCAGCAGTTTGTGGTTTCTGCTCTACTGCATAAAACATCATATTATAGGGCTTGAGTATGTCTTCTCTGCTAAAATATTGAGGCTTGTGAATAGGAAGCTAGAAAGTTGAAGAGAGAAAAGCCCAATTTGAATAGCCCCAATCTTGTTTCAGTCTGGTTCCATTTTTAAATTCTGTGGGTCTCTCTAACTTAAAAGATATAGGTTACTACTAGCTATTCAGAATATTAATCTATTATAAACAACATTTATTTAAATTTAACTGATCCTGTTTTAAACCAAATATGAGCCCTTTACAGGCCCTGGATTGAAAACTTTAAATGATTGATAACTACTATCATTTTTCTAAGGTTTAGGTGGGCTTTTGGCTAAGCTATTTCCCTGTGACATGAGGAAAGCACAATTATAAGAAATAATTCTATTAAAATTGTAATGAAACAGGAAAACAATAACCAATTTTTTAAAAACTTACTAAGACACGTCTTCTTAACTTCCAGAATTTTTCCCATAGTGACAGGGTATGATATCTTGTTGAGAATGGCCAAGTTTTCTGGCAAATTAATTGTCAGTGACTGGTCCTCCAATCTTTCCAGATTCTCCTTTCCACTTTCTTTCTTTAACAAGTGTTGCTTGTTAAAGGGCAGTTTCACCATATCTTGTTTTTCAGATAATTTATCTCTCATTTTTATCTTCTCCCATTTATCACAAAAATGATTTGAGGGTGAGCTACTAAAAAGCAATTATCTAAAACGTCTAAAATGACTATGACAACTGAGTACAGTGCCTTTATTCTAGAAATTTCACCCAATAACAGAAAAAACATGAGTACTTTTCTCAACATTGTATCACATACATTCTTGCACAATCCAGTCTTTATTTCAATAGAGTTTACTAGAGCTTATTAAATCACATATAGCTAAGTGATTTTTTTTCTCAACTCTCAGTTGAAATCTATGCATATTTATTCAGAAGTATAACTGACAGGGTTCAGTGAAACTTTCTGAAATCTCAACTCCTCAATGACTTATTTTGCCTCCACAGATAATTGAGATGGTTCTATCTAACCTTTAATATGTCAGGCAACTCACCTTCATCAATGTCTGGAGGAAGACCACCAACAAACACCTTTCGAGAGAAATGTTCTATCCATTCTCCATTTTGATGTGCAGGATAACAGGTAGGTGAATTCAATACACCAACTTGGTCACTATGACCATCATTTAGTAAACCATCATCTATAGGAAAGAGGGAAGAACGACCTGGGAAAGAAAAGGAAGGAAAATGTAAAATATTCTATGGGTAAAGAAGTCTTCATGAAGTCTATGGGTAAAGAAGTAAAGAAGTCTTCACTCAAATCTGCCAAAAGCCCACAAATTGTCAAAAGAAGACTAATTGAAGTCACCACTAAAATGAAAAACAAATATGAAAGCACAAGAGAAATTAACTGCAAAAGCATAGGTCTCATTCTGGTTTGGCCTCTCTGGGACTGCTATGGGAAGAATGTATTTGGTTTCATACATTAAGTACACTCATTGAAACCTTTTTTCAACATATTTCAACATATATTTGACCTTCATTTCAACAATATTAAAGGATATAGTATAAAAAATATCATGCACCATTTGCATTTTGTAGTCAATTGTGTAATTTAAATAAACCTAATACAAATTGCACCTATAAACAGCTCCACATCATCCAACTATAACCAGGCATCGCTCAGATTATCTTCATGAGAGTTGTCTCCCATTACCTGACACCTTCTGCTCTGAAGGGTTCTGTAGAAAAGCGTCCCTGGACATTAGCAGCAAGAAGACTATCTTGACCTTGATCTTCTGAAAAATTATTCCAGAACGAGAGGGCTATGTGAAGAATCCTTGAGAATCCAGAAGGGCAGAAATCCCAGAAGACTGGAGAAGAGCAAATGTCATTCTCTTGGACAATCCCTTCCAACTCTTAGTGTCTTTCAAGCCAAGGAAAAGAATATCTAATTTTTTTCTACTGTTTTTGCTTAATGATAACTCACAAGACAATACACTATATCTTTGGTCTTTTATGAGGATAAAGGGAAAATATAGATACTATATAATTAACTATAACGTAAAAAGTATGTGACTAAAAACTAAAGTGACTATAGAGCTTAAAAGAAAAGAGCTGTAAGTCTCCTGTAAATAAACTGTAGAATAAACTAATATAGAAATAAGCTGTAATTATAATATTCAAGCATTTTATATCATGTAGTGAGATTAGAATAGAACAAAAAGTTGTCACTTTAAATGTACACTGATCAGCATACATTAAAATAAAATTGCATTCAGCTCTCAAAAGATAATCATTATGCATACACACACACATACATGCACACACATACATAACACAGAGAAACATCACAGTCTAGTTCGAATGTATACATATATATGGCAAAAAAAAAAAGAAGAGTCCTACAAGTTTACAAGATGGATGGCATAAGGAACAAAGCTGTTACAGAATCTAGTAGTCCTGCTATAGATATTTTGAAACTTCCTCCCAGAGAGGAGCAACAGAAATAGATTGTGAAGTAGGTGTGTGGGATCTCTAACAATGTTTTAAGCTCTAAACACATAGCGCTTATAAGCAATATCCTGAATAATGGGAAGTGAGCTTCCTATAGTCTTCTCAGTTCTCCCTAGCACTCTCTGTATGGACCAACTGTCTGAGATACTGCTGCAGGGGTGAAATGCTACCGGTTCGCTCTGGTTCGGGTGAACCGGTAGTGATAAAAACTACTGGTTCAAGCAAACGGGTAGTAAAAAATACTTTAAAAGTAAAAAAAAAGTTCCGACGATCACAGCTGTGCCGCACAATCGTCGGAACCTTTTTTAAAAAAACTTTTTAAAAGCATTTTTTTACATCTATTCGCTCGAACCGGCCCAGGCTCTGGAGGGGATGGAGAAGGAGTGTGGACCCTCACCCAGCACGTGGTACCCACCTCCCAGCAGAGGGCCTGACCTATTTCCCGGAGGCAGGACCAAGCCCATGGTATGACGGGGGGAGCCCCACAGGCCAGGAGAACACATGCCACCCAAGACCACCACTCCACCCGCAAGGGCCTAGTTTGGGCACCGTGGAGGGCAGGACAGGGCTCTGAGGCAGGACAACCAGACTCTGCTCCCAGCCTGGCCATTGGTGGCCCATGGACTGGGCCCTATGGGACGATGGGACTCACGAGTCATGTGGGCCTCATTTGACAGCGGCCCGGACAGGGTAGCCCTATTTTTGGGACAAGTGATTGACCATCTCGATAAGTACAGCCATCTATATACTTCCCAGTGGGCCATGGTAATGGCGGTGGCTGCCATTATGGAGGGTGTGGCAGCCAACTGGGTCACTGACTTATATAGCGACCAGGGGAACTAGGAGATATAGGCCTGTTCCTCTCAGCCATGCAGGAGCGGTTTGAGGATAACAGCTGAAGGTGAACTGTTGGCATCCAAACAATGAGGTAGGCCATTGGCCGAATACATAAAAGAATTCTGAAGGTTGTCAGGAAAAGTGAGGGGTTGGCCGGAGCAGTTTATGGTACATCAATTCAAGGCTGGGCTTGAATTACACAAGCCTGTGTAACACGTGGTCTACCACCCCGACTTGTGGCATGGGTCCAGGCCGCCACCAAGATCAATGTGGAATTCTGGAAAGATGATCGGACAAGAGCGAATTGGCCTGCAGGGGGTCGGAGACCACCAGACCACCCCCTCCCAATGTCATGACCATCAGACCCGATGCTAGCTACGCCTTCCACAACCGCACCAGGGAAACCTGGCCCCACACAAGCCCCAATGATCTGTTTCTAGTGCATGAAACCAGGTCATTGTGTGTTGGACTGCTCCGAGATGGGTCCTAAAGCATCAACTGGAACACCAGGGCCTCAATAGAGCACTGCTAGGTCTTCCGGTTTGCTGTTTGTCGCTGCCAGACGTTCCTTTGGGATCGTCAGCTTCCATCGCCTGTCAGAGCCGCCTTCACAACGGAATGGCGGCTCGAAAAAAACTCCGTTTCCATGAGGAAACGGAGATAGAGCCGGCAGGGGTGGGTAGAACTCTCTGCGGAGTCCCAAAAGTTTTTCCTTTACTTTTGGGACGGAGCGGATGAGATGCCCCGCATCCCCAGCCGCCGCTCCGGGCTTTGGGAGACCTCTGCTGATGCAGAGCCAGGCGTCAAAAGCAAGCCTGCAAATTTAACAGACTACTCAAAGAAAATGTGAGCTGGACCTGTAATACTGAACTGCAAGTATTTTACTGATTTTTTTTTTTTACTGATTTTTTACTTAAGAGAGAGGAGGAAAAGAAAGAGGGAAAAAAGCCTTTTAAAATGGCGTCGGCTGGAGGAGAGGCTGAAAGGGAAAGTCCTTCCGTTTTTTATTACTACAATGTAGCGGAATAAATACCACTGGCTACATTTGTAGACAAAACTTCGCTCCTGTGTCTTTTTCTCCTTTTTTTTCCCTTGGAGACCTGATATTGTTGTTGATTGGAAAGAAGTCTTTCTTGCTTTTTTTTTTTTTTTTAATAAAGCCTGCCTGGGCGGAAACATGGCACTGAGACTCATAAAGTCAGGTAAACAAGAAGGGGGGGGATTCCCCCACCAACAACTTAAAGGAACAAGTCTTAACTCTTCAGTCTCAGAAACCTGATTTTAATATAATAGAATTTTTTATAGAGGAGATTGAAAGAAGGGAGGAGATTGTGAATCAGCAACTTGAAAAATTTAAGCAGGAAATTAAAGAATTGGTGAAATCTAAGTTTGATTTTTTGGAGAAAAAACTCTCAAAAGTGGCTAATGGTTTTACAGAATTTATGATACAGTTGGACACAAATACTAATGTACTAGAGTCTAAAATGGAAGAAATTCAAGATAAATTGGACAATAGAATTCAAAAAATTGAAAATGATTTGACAAACACTCAGGATAATAGCTTAGAAGAAAAACCTAAAATGGATGCTGATCAAAAGTATGGTAATGCAGAAAATCTGCAACAGAAGATTGAAAAAGAGATTTTAATGGTACAATATAATTTCACAGAATATGCGATAAGATTAAGAGGTTTGCAGGAAAATAATAGAGAGGATTTAAGGAAAATATCTTCTGAATTTCTAGCTGGGATTCTAAAGGTTCAACCTGACGAAGTGTTTTGTAGGATTGACAGAGTTTATCGAATTAACTCCTGGATTGCCAAGCAAAGGCAATTGCCTAGAGATGTGGTGATTTATTTTACAGACAAAGAAATTAGGAATAATATCGTGCAAAATTCCTTCAATTCTAATTTGCAATTGTATGGAAGAAAGATTTGGATTTACAAGGAACTCCCACCTAAGATATTGATGGAAAGGAAGAAATTTGGTTTTCTGGTGATTGGGTTAAAAAAGAGAAATATCTCATTCAGGTGGGACGCCCCAGTTGGTATTATATTTAGATACCAAGGAGAAAGATATCAGCTAAATACTGTTGAAAGAGCGGAAGAATTTTATCAAAATAGGTTGAAAATGAACTTAACATCTTCAGGTATAATACAGGATAAGCAGAAGGAGCTGGAAATAAAGGGAAAATATCGAATTACAGAGACTGTACCAGATGAATTGCCTTTGGATTTATTGGATACCCCAGCTGGACTATCTACAAATTTGAGAGAAGTGGCATCTAACATTAATGTGATGACTTATCAAGGCAAGGATAAGCATGGAAACCAATTAGGGGATATACAAGGGATAAAAAAGAAACATGAGATACAAAAACAAAACCAACAAGACCAATCTACAAAGCAGAATAAAAACCGACCAGATGATACACAATTTGTAGAAAGGAAACCAGGATGGAAACCAAACCCACAAAAAGAAAAGAAAAAAAGAAATAGGTGGCATAAAAATAGAAATTTCTAAATTAGGCAACAGTGAAGCCAGTGACTTTAAAATATGAATGATTATGTGTAAACACAGAAGAGGCGACGTATTGGTTAATATCATCCTGAGGATTGTGGTAGATCTCTGCATGGCCGTAATTTGGGGACGTGAAACGAGCCTTAAACTGATGGATTTGAATTATCCATTTTGGAATTTCTTTTTGTGTTGATAAACATATTATATTATCTTGAATTACAAGGCAAGAGAATTATGCTGGGGCATGCAGAAGATCGGGTTGTTACCCACTACGATGATGGGAATTAATAATCCTGATGAAACCCACAATTATTACTATATGGAATATAATTATAATGTCACTCGGGTGGTTGTTTTTACTTTTATACATATAAGAAGATATTTACTACTGATGGGGGCAGATATGATTGAAGATCCTGAATAAACTGTTGCACCAGCAAGCTATGTTACCCGATTATGGATGTTGGTTCTACCAATCCAGTGGAAAGACCTCAAAGAAGATACTACATGGATTATAAATTTAAAGTCATTGTCTTTTCTTTTTTTTTATTTAGATATAATGGAAAATATAGACATATATTTTTAAGTAGTGTGGGCAGTGATTCAAAGATATTAAGAAATGTTGTGTATGGTAATTTTGCATGATAGTGGGTGAATAAGCTAGTTAGTAGATTGATTAGTCTAAGAAAAGGGATTTTTAAGTGATATATTTAGGGGAGTGGAGGAAATGGATAGAGTGGAATAAATGTTAAACTAGATTTTATGGGGAAGGCTGCTTTGAAATGTTATACTAATATATATAGAAGATTAAATGTTAAAGTAGGACTTATTGTATAGTTTTAAAGTGGAGAAGTTATTCTATAATGTCATAGTAGAATGTCTTTTTTTTTTCC